ACACTAATTAGATTTTGATCAATCTCAGGCACATAAAGAACACCAGCTATGTGTTTAATACCCACAGATGTCTACACTTCAATTACTCCAATCCCCTTCACATCAACATAGTCTCCATTACAACCTTCACCTTAGATGAGTAGGCCTTGTTCAATTCAACAAAGATACTTGAGTTTGCTGTCATGTGGTGTGTACAACCACTATCTAGCAACCAATTTCATCCTTTGTCATTGGCCAGAATAGCTGTAAATAGGTGTTCCTCCTGCAGATCTTGCTGATTCTCTGCAGCCTGAGCTTGCTGCTATGTTTGTTTCCCTTTTACGGTTGTGCACACCTTTTCAACATGGCCAAATTGCTTGCAACTTCTACACTGAACACCAGGCCTATACCAACAACATTTTGGAGAATGGCTTTCCTTTTTACAATGAGGGCAATGTGTGAATTTATCGTCTTTGTTGCAAGTTTTGCTGCCTTCAGGTTCCTTCTTCTCAGTCAGCACCTTCTTCATTCCAAGGCTCGTTTGAGCTTTGTATCTTCCTTTAACAAACAATGATCCTTCAGTTTGTTCTTCTTACCCCATCAACCTTCTTTGCTTTGTTGCTTGAAGGGTATTAACCAGTTCAGCCAAAGTAATTGATGGCGGATCTCTTGAATCCTCAAGTGATGATATCTTGGCTTCAAACTTCTCAGGTAAGCTGATCAGAACCTTATCCACCACTCTTTTGTTTGGCAAATCGTCTCCTAACAGCTTAATCTGATTTATAACCTTCAACAACCTGTCTGCAAGGTCTTTTACCACCTCAGTTTCCTTCATTTTCAAGGTCTCAAACTCCCTTCTCAAGTTGAGCACTTGCATCTGTCTAGTTCTCTCATTTCCTTGGAATTTCTCCTTGAGTCTATCCCAGGCTTCTTTTTCCATTTCACAAGTCATTATCCTTGTGAAAATAGCATTTGAAATAGCAGATTGAACATAGGATAGAGCCGTGAACTTCTTGGCAACATCTTTACTGTGTTGTTTGATTTGAGCAATTGTGGGGTTAGCTCTCAATGGTGGAGGTTCAATGCCTATCTCGGTTATCTCCCAAATGTCATAAGCCTTGAGATAAGCTTTATCTTTGTAGCCCAAAAGTTGTAATTTTCTCCATTGAAGGCTGAGAGTAGAGGTGTTGAAAAGCCAGTTGATGCCATCCTATTTTCTGTCAACTCGATTTTCTCTGCTGATGGTTTCCCCTTTTTTTGTTACTTCAATTCTTCTTCCTTCTTTTTGCGGTCCCTTTCTAAGAACTAGGATGGCTCTAATACCGTGTGATAATATTAACAAAGAAAAGAGAAAGGAAAGTGAGCAAAGTAATGGTAAAATAACAAGTTATCTTTGCTGGCTTTCTTCATTAATACATATAAACTTTACAAAGTGATTTAAGTACAAAAAGTCTTCCATACTTCACCTACTACAAGACATTNNNGTCTTCCATACTTCACCTACTACAAGACATTGCAGTTGACAGCTTTATCACCATACCATAGATAGTCCATAATTCAAAAATATACTACCAAACATGTACTAGTAACTCAAGGAATGATGATTACAAAAAGCATAGTGGATTGACAATAAAAATGCCATGCTACACTTAACAGAAGCAATACAATTAAAATTTCCATGAACCCCGAGAACTACTACCATACAAGCAACAAAACTACCTTCTAGTGATATTATCAATGCTAAATTATGATTCTAAATGTCAATAATCTGTTAAGAGCAAAAGAAATACTTATGAAAACTGCATTCATAAGAAACTGAATATAAAGACACCTCAAACACCTAGAGAGCTTTCCAACTTAATTATCATCCATACATTCACAAACGGGTTTACTTCGGAATGCTCGTGAATAGTAATATATCAATCAAAGGAAAACAAACTTTAAACATTCAAGAATGTAGTAAAAAAATTACTAGAAACAAGATGAAGAACAACATATCGAAATTTCTGGTGTATCTAAAACAATTCAAAAGATATCTTTTCATTGAAAATGGTCTCATTAGTGTACAAATAGTATTCATTACCAGTGGATAAATTCTGTCAAATAGGTAGCGAGATACCTTATTGTAGGAACTTTAGATATGAAATTCTCATTAGAGGTGCCCGGGCACAATCTATTTAGATAATCACGCCTTCAAATTGGAATTAAAAAATAAAAAGAATTAATATCAACACATAGATTCCAATACAGAAAATTCAAAGGAGTTTCCGTAATCTTTGTAGAAAATTGATGAAATTAGAAGGTCGATGCATCTTAATGAATAGGCGAGCCTTCTTGTGCTGCCATCTTTTGTAGATATCTATCTGAAATGTCACTCCTTGCATTATGGTATTTGAAAGGAACCCAATCCTACAAAGAAAGAGAAAACAGTTGGAAAAATTAATATTTAAAATCCATAATTAAGTCAAACTAGCATGAATGAAAGGCATTGTGCTCCATTTCATAGATATTTACCTCAAGCCTGTTGCTTTATGGAAAAAAATTGAAACCAGAAATAGCACAATAAAATCATTAGATCCATGTAATTTAAAA